GACAGAGGCCGACGGCAAGCGCTGGTGTTGATTCTTTGTCTCATCGAGCTGAGCGCAGTGGCTGGTCAGGCTCGGTATTCCATCCCGGAGGAGCAGGCCGAAGGATCGTTTGTCGGAAACATTGCGAGAGATTTAGGCTTGGATGTTGCGAGGCTGATTTCAGGTAAAGCTCGTATTATTACAAAAGGAGGCCGACAGTATGTGGATTTAAACAAAGACAAAGGCATCCTTGTTATTAAAGAGAGAATCGACCGGGAGGAACTGTGTGGAAAGACGACGCCCTGTAGCTTCAGCTTCGAGGTGATTTTAGAAAATCCTATCCAGCTTTATCGTGTGACAGTGGAGGTGACAGATATAAATGATAACAGTCCGTCGTTCCCCAAAGACGAAATTGGCTTGAAAATTGCTGAAAGTGTTGCATTAGGGACTCGCTTCTCTTTGGAGAGTGCAGATGACGCTGATGTTGCTAACAATGATATTCAAAAATACACACTTAAACCCTCTGATCATTTTAAGCTAGAAGTGCAAAACCAGCCGGATGGAGGCGGGTTTGTTGAAATGGTTTTACAAAACCCGTTAGACCGAGAGAAAGAGGAAACTCACAGTCTTGTGCTGATTGCTTCAGATGGCGGTGAGCCACGGAGATCAGGGACAGTGCGTATTCATATTACTGTTCTGGATGTTAATGATAATTCGCCTGTGTGCAGCCAGGCTGTTTATAAAGCAGAAGTCAAAGAGAATTCTCCTGAAGGAACAGTGATAACCACTGTGAGTGCAAATGACCCGGATAAAGGAGTAAACGGACAGGTAACATATTCTATAGCTCATGTCGCCAAAGAAACGAAACAACTTTTTGAAGTAAATGTTCAAACTGGAGAGATTAAAGTCGCAGGTAAACTCGACTTTGAAAAATCTAAGACTTATCAACTGAACGTGCAGGCTAGTGACCACGGAGGTTTTTCTGATACATGTAAAGTTTTCATTCAAATAACTGACGAAAATGACAACGTCCCTACAATACAGCTCATGTCATTTTCGAACTCGATATCTGAGGATTCTCCTCCAGGTACAACGATAGCTGTTCTTAACGTGGATGACGAAGACTCTGATGGTAACGGTGCTGTCAAGTGCTCCATTAACTCTGACGTACCTTTTAAAATCGAGTCTTCATTAACAGGATACTACACCATTGTAACTGAAGACTTTTTAGACAGAGAGAGTATCCCTGAGTATAATCTCACCATAACTGTGTCTGATCAGGGTTCCCCGCCTCTGTCAAGCAGTAAGAACATCAACGTAAAAGTATCTGATGTCAATGACAGTCCACCCAAATTTGATCATTCAGAATACACTAAAGCTGTCGCAGAGAACAACTCTCCTGGACTTTCTGTGTTTACCGTGAGTGCTAATGATGCAGACTGGGGCCAAAATTCCCGCGTTTCTTACTTTTTGCAGGAGAGGGACATTAATGGGCTGGCTGTGTCTTCGCTGGTTTCAGTAAATTCAGATACCGGTGTTATTCATGCAGTGAGATCGTTTGATTACGAGCAGATCAAGTGGTTTGAATTTAATGTAACTGC